TGTAGTCGACGTTTTTGTTGAATAACACGAATTAATAAAGCAAAACTTAAAATTGCAACTAATACACTTGGTACAATATTATTTACAATAAATTCCCACATACCAATAAATGGATCAGCTTGATAACATGGATATGCATTGCATATTGGTAATGTATAGTCATATGTATTTTCACAGGGAAAAATGAAAAGTACATAAATATAGAAAGTTATTATATAAAGAAGTAAAATTGATATAGGTAAATAATGTCCTAAAATACGTCCTTTTTGTGTTGATATCCATCGATAGTTAAATACTAAAATATGTCGTTCGAAAGATGCCCATGCCATTAGAATTGTACCTCCATTATACATTCCAAAAGCGGCAAACCACCATACAAGACATGATGATGGTATAGATGGTTTAACAACTCCTGAATGAATGATAAATGCTATATAAGATGGAACATCAATTAATTGAGTTCCTAAACCCAGAATAAGTAAAATAATAATAACATGATTATGTAATGCTTTTCGTGATGCTCGATTGTGACTGAGATAATAGAGAAGTAGCAATGTACATATTATTGATGAACTATCAAATATAATAAGAACCCAAAGACGAATCGGACGTGGTAGAGATATTTCTGAATCTTCGAATGATGTTTCATTTGTATTGTCATCAGTTGCCATAAGTTTTGAGAAAATCTAACTAAATCTTTATCAAATATGGATCAAAATGTTGAATGAACTCGAGGAAAGAAAAAGTCCTTTTTTTTAAAAATATTTTCTATATTATTTATTCATCTGAAGTAATTAGAAATATAGCGAAAGCGTAAATAATGTATAGATTCTATCACAATAATTACGCTCATTCTATAAATGTCTAATGATATTCAATAAGATCTATAGTTTATATAAAAAAAGAAAATTTTAATTATTCTGGCGTCAATAAAAAAAAAGAGTTCAATTCAACTAATGAAATATAAATACTATTCATTGAGTACAATTTGTTTTAATATAAGATTTGTAAGTTAAATTTATTAGAATCTAAAGAATTTTATAAGAATAATCTTGTTTTTGTTGATCAGTATACAATATGAGAAATTTTATCTACTCTTGTTTCATCAAAAAATAATAATAAAAAGCAAATGATCAATTCAGATAAAAGAGTCATTCAACTTGAATGATATTCTTTTAGTAAGCATAAATACAATTTGGAATACATATAAACAAAGCTTCATTTCTGCAAATATTTTCATAACCAATAATTAATGTACTTTTTTTTGTTTTGCCTTTTGATACTCAATTGATTCGATGAATCAAAACTATAGGATGGTGCATAACTTATCCGATAGTCTTTCAAAATGAAATGCAGAGCTGTAATTTCCAGCGACGAAGATACACACTATGCTAAGTACGAATATGGATATGAGGGGGACGTACCAGAAAACTAGATTTTCAGGTTAAATTTTTTTTCGCTAAATCGATTTTTTAATCCTTTCACATTGTAAACCATATCGAGTTGTCTATAAAATGATATTTTTTTTCTGTTTCAGAATTGAGTTTTAACGACAATACAATCATTTTAGTTTATGCAACAGATTTCGTAGGCGAAGATACGAAAGACGCAATTGGAATCGCTCATGTAAATATCTACTAATATAAATTGTCCTTTTTCTACAGGAGTATTATTCTTCTGCTAATATTGTATACTGTTTATCAGAACTATTTGATGTTAGTTTAGCATGACAGATGTCTTCATCTGTTTCATAAGCAAGTGCTTCTTCTATCAAGAAATAAACTTATTTATGCATATATTCCTTTTCGACACTTGAATACCACTATCTTCTTATGAATGAATTATAACATATAATAGAAATGACACAGAAAAAAAGTATCATTTTATAGACAAACTGATATCGTTTCTAATGTGAAAGGATTAAAAAATCGATTTAGCAAAAAAAATGTTTAGCCTGAAAATCTAATTTTCGGATGCGTCCTCTCCTGTGAAGGCCTAAAGAGATTTCTTATACCCATAGTCGAATGATGAATGCATAAATGATATTTTAAATATCTAGATCAAATATTAGTGGATAAGAAGACGACTCAAGAATGAAATGAAAAAGCTTTTGCTCTTCCGAATCTTGCAATCTGGCGTCTTTGTTACGCTTATTCGTTTCATATCTTTCTATAAAATACATTAAAAAAATTATTTATAAAATTAAAGGAATGCTTATTTTAATAGTAACAATAACTTCACGTCTCATTTTAAAAGCAATTATCTCAACATTTTGTATTCAGATTGAGTTCTTTTTTAAAAGATTTGAATACATAAATATACTCTAATATAGCCCTCATAATATATCTTGATCTTATGACTATTCAATGATTCTCGTACTAATGACTTAATTGATTGTACAACTGACACATTTGAAGTCCTCTCGTTAATATAAATACTATTCTTACTGAAGAATTTGCTATCATTATCTATATCTGATATCAAAATAATAATAACACTTATTGTATTTTGTGAATATTATATGAATACTAAATCATGGAAAAATAAATTCCTAATTATAAAGTACATTTCTGAGTTTTTTATAAGATCTGTATTACATGTATTTCTATATATATATATATATGAAACAAATACTCGTATGAAGATTAAAAGTTTTGACTTCTTCAAATTATTCATATGGAATGTCTCTCACTATCGAAGCTGAGAGAAATAATCTTATTTCAGTTTTGTCTTTCGTGATAATAAATTAGTTTATTATGAAAATGAAAAAATACCAAAGATAACAAACGAGTATCAAAATCACATTTAAGATTAGTTGTTATAGATTTTTAACGAACATAAAGTATCTATATCATTTTATTTCTACCATCACTAGTCAGAACATTAAACCTTATGAACGATCTAAGCTATTTCATCCGTATATTTATACAATAATCCCTAGTTGAATGTACAATGAATAATGAAATATTAAACTACAACTGTATATAATTGTGTCTTTAATTACTTAAAACGGCAGGAAAAATTTTTTTTGTTGTTGATAACTATCGTTAATAATACTATTTCTATTGATTTATAATAAAAGTCGATCGTATGGTCTAATAAACTTTAATATTTTTTTACATTTTCTTTTCATTTCCTATTATTTCTAGATCTATGAATAAAAATAAATAGTATATTTTCTCTTGAGTAATCTTTTTTATTTAACTAGGTCAATCACTTGTAATTTTACTCAAGCAAAATAATTCTAAGAAGGATACACAATATGTCTAGACAAAAAATAATAAAACAATGTATCCCATATCAAAGAAATGTTCAGTCAAGGTTTTCATCACTTCTTTTCCTCTTCTTGTCTAGTCATGATTTATTATTATTAATGAAATTAAGAAGTAAATATATCAAAACAGATACAAAATACAATTTGAATAGAACTAATTTTCTATAATAATAATAATTAGTATTTTTCATTTTCTAGAAAAGATGACGATTAATTTTTGTTCAAAATGACATATTGTACTTTATCATATAGATCAAAATCTCTTATATATCATTTGCATGAGAAGAAAAGTCATTAACCTGAAAAGAATAAGCAATGACGGAAATTATTAACTCTTCTTTTGTATTACTTATACTTCAACACCGGAATATATTTATTTTACCTTCAACTGTCAACGTAATTTTATATTAGAAATAGATTGATATTTTATTTCGAAATATATTTGAAAAAAAAAAAACTATAAGATAAACATTTTTTTGTTGTATAATATCGATTTACAAATTTAACAAATCTCAAGATTAATCTAGATGTGTTATTTCTTTTATTTTAAGTATTTATTAAATCGGATACTTTTATAACATTTAATCTTCTTAGAGACTTTAAAATCAAATGACAAATTATCGTTTCTTTTTTTTTTATAAGTATCCATACTAATATGACTTTTCATTGTTAAATAGATTTATTACAACAATTTCCTGACAAGCATTTGTATTCAGCTGAACTGTCAATGTTAAATTGACATATATTGTTGAACAATGACTAGCGAATAATTATTATTGATTGAATACATATGATAGAGAATTAATGTTTGTAAATAGACAAAACTATTATAAAGTTAATCATACAATCCTACATTATTTGAATCATATTGAATGAGAACAAATTGTTGTTTTAATTACAATGAGATTTTAATAGAATTAGATACATATATAGCTTGAGACAAATTCTTTCTCATAGATTTCGAATTTTGTCATCGTCATTGTCGAATGATTAATGAAGTTGAAACATATCAAACAGTGATAAACGATTTATTTTAATCAGTTATTTTATTTTTAATACGAATCAATATCATTCTACCGTAATCATCATCAAAGAAAAAAAAGTAGAATATAACAAACGAAGCATAATACCATGAAAATGTATTATACATTAACGTATATTCATTTAAATACTACTAACAAATCTTTTCTCTTTCTGTCTTACACGTATTTGTCGTTATACCAACTGGTGCAGATGCTTGACTCGCACGTTTTTTTGTTTCATATTTGTTTTTCTTTGATATATACAGCGCGTGTATATACAGCTTGCATAACTTTATCGACATACAGTATATCGATTATTTATACTTCTTACTATTAATATTGCCGCCGATTGATTCGATTATCAAGAAGCTATTTATATGCATGCACGTGTGCATATGTGTATATATATATAGCAGCCTTGGAATTCTTTGCAGTTCATAGGCTACCTTTCATTTTCATATGTAAGATGAAACAAGAAGAAAAATGACTAAAGTCAACCAAAAGTTATAGACATATGTTCATCTCATTTCTCATCATAATAAAAGGAAAGAATAAGATTGAATATCAATGCAAATAGACATTGCCATATATACCGAACATAGACTCGCGTCATCGCTCAGTGTAACAGAAACCAAATATATGTTATTACTACTGTTGATGATGATGATGTGAAAGAGAGACCGAATAACAGACACACTCAAGTGAGTGAATTAAGAAAGATACTATAAAAGGTGCTTTATTCAACTCTAACAACTGTCGTCAAATAACAATCAGAAATAGTAATAGTCAGTGAAATCGAATGATTATATTTATGTCTCTTTTTATAATAGAATACGATAATAACGATCATGGCAATGATTATGTTCATAATGATGAGGTTTCATAAGACATATGATTGAAACTTTCTTTTTTTTCTTCTCTTCTCATACAATCTACATATACAATTATTTTTATTTCTTCTAAAAAAAACTAAATCTCGAAAAAAAAAAATGTTTTATTTATTTCAGTCAATATCGACTAAAATAAACTTCTTTTTTTTTCTCATACTAAATCGAAACATCAATCATAAAATATGTATGTTGTACATTTGCTTTCGGCAAAATAGATATGAAATATATATATGTATATATATATGTCTATGTGTTCTTTGATTTCATTAGTTCTTTTACTCGTATTTGTATACATAACAAAACGACAAGTGTCCACTTTCGTCGTTCTACATACTATGTGTGTGAATATTTTAACATCAAACAATACCTAACACACACTTTTCAACTTGTCTCTCTCGAGCATAAAAAAAAATTGTATACATAGTCCCATAAATAAAATGTATGCATTTGTGTATACTTGATTCTTTTTTCTTAATGTTGATTATTTGTCGACAAGAAAATGAAATAGATAGTATATAAAAAATCATCAAAGACACTTGAATTTTTAATGGTGAGTTGGCATTATTTTCTTTTTCTATTGACATTATAAGTAAATGATTTTTTCCGTGACATCGACACGAACAAAAGTTAAATATTCATTAAAAAGAATGTTCAGACAATGAATTTCATCTTCTTTGTATTTGAACATATGGTATCAAGGTAATACGTAATCATACTCTGAATACACATATACATACATATATATATATATTTTTAAAGTCATTAACGAATAATTATGGGGTATGTGCCACATCAATCATGGTGTGTGGTCTGTTGGAGGAGAAAAGGAAAAAAAAAGAAAGAAGAAACAAAAGACAGAAGAAGAATAAAAATGAGTATGTACTTTCACAAGGCGAGATGGAATATTGATAAATAGCTGTAAGCGTTCATGTGTATACATGATGTTATTCGAATTAACCACTTATATGTATACATGTTCACTAGCAAATATTGACATAAAAAATTAGTCGCACCAATAACTCTTCAGTGGCGGTTCTCATCATAAACGATATTGATATAACTACTATCCAAGTTTAGTCAGCAGGTATGTAAAGCGAGATGTAAAAAAAATTTGATTGATCGTAGGAGAAAAGTATTTACTAATGATAGAATAAGAGAAGAGCTAAAGTAATCTCATAAAGATTAGAAAAGAGATCACACATGTGTTTTTTTTTTCGTAATGATTATAATCGGTCTTAATTCATACTGAATATAACGATAACAAGAGAGTATCCGTTCTCACATTTATGTGCGAGAGAGTAAATTCGATTTTACTAACCGTGCGTGTTGACAATTCTTGGTTGAACGAAGAACATATAGAGCAGAAGAAAAAAAAGCTTGCTTATATAATTAGATCAACTGTTTATACATATATCAAATAGATGGTCTTATACTACGTAGAAATTTTATGAGTAAATGTTATTTTTAACGTAGTAAATAACTAGTCAAAAGATACTTGATAATTGATTACTTTTTTTTTTTATTAAATATCATTTTGAAGTGCTCGCGTGAGAAGTATTCTTCTGTTATTACTATTTAATATTAAATACTTAACTTGAAATAGATTCTAGAATACGTTTTTTCTTATATTTTTTATAAAATCTTTGTAGATTTAGTTTAGGTATATAAGGATGATTTTATTTAATTTTCTTATGTATAGATTGAAAAGATGTTTCTGTAGTAGTATGAACAATTGACATTATTAAATAATTATGATTATACTCGTTTTGTGTAATTGCATGAATGTACATATAATAAGAAAAAAGAGAGAAAGTAAAAGAAAAGATTCTTTTGTTCTTCTCATCATTTCTTTACTGTTCCGTTAAGGTGTCTTGCGTGTATGCGCTCTCGTTCTTTTTCGATGATGCGTACCGAATGACATAAATATACTTCTTCCTGCGTTTCTTCATCTCTATATTCTTACTCATTCTTTGTCTTTGTTTAACTGAGCTACATCAATTTTAGACATTTGATTTTGTCGTTTTTATTTTGTGACAAGCCGCAATGGTGTATGGTCTATGCAATGTTTATGGTGTTTCTTCTTATTATTTACATCAATACAATAGATTGTCAAACAACAACAACAGCAGCACCAACATTTATTTACGGTTGTTCTTTTACAAATAGTACATATTTGACAAACGCCGCAGTATCAAATCAATTTCAATTTCTTAATTCTACATCCATTAAACTTACTGCTAGTTACGCATTTTTATCTACACCTTTATCGATATCAACATTTGGAATTGGTCTTATCTATCCATTTTCTACATCAGTTAATCTTGTACCATTTCCTGTTTTTCTTAATTGCGCATCTTCTATTCAATCCTGTCAATTAGGAACTATAGCTGTTACTACAACAACAACACGCGCATCAGAACCTATTGGTGTACAACTTTCGCCATTTAATTATTCATCATCATCATCGTCATCAATTCTATTTAATCAAATGGGTTTATATCTTAATCAAGGATCATATCAATTAAGTAATTGTACATTAAATAATGGACAATATATGACTGATCCACAGACTATATTTAATATTCAAATACAATATGAAAAAACTGTTGGTAAGATTTAATTAATAGCTATAAATTTTGCAATATAAATAGACATATGCTAAAGGCGTGTAGACAGATTTGCATGTTAGTGATGATACATGTCAGGTGTTTTTTTTTCTCTCTCATTGTTAATATCATAAAAAAAATAGGAATATAGTTAATGGTTTGATGGGATTAACAAACAAATAGAAATTCAATAAAAGACAAACTGTTATATTTCGTTATGAAACAAGTGTGATAGTTTAAAAACAAACAAAAGTACGAATTTACATCAGTGTATATGCCGTATTTACATTTCTAGACAAAGAAGAAAAAAAAGAAATCACTCTAACAATTGAATTGAAGAAAATGAGTTGGTGGTTATGTCGTTTTCATATACCGGAAATAAAATTTTTTTACTTAATATATTAATTACAATTCATACATCCTATTGCATAAGAGAATAGTTTTATTTTTTTTCCCATTCTCTCGAAAAACTAACTGAAATTATTTATTAAACTTATTTTGGTGTTGAAAAAAAATAATCTTGTTGTTTCATAAAAATTAATTATAAGCAATTTTTTTCCATTAGATTAAGATTAAGTGCTCTAAGACAAATACCACGCTTTTTATATTTTTTGTCCAAAGGATAAAACAGTTGTCATGGAAAATCTTAATATAAAAACTCGTTATTTCTTTTTTCTTCCGCTTAGGTACTAGTTGTAATCCATCTACTGATACTTGTGGTATATCATCTCTAACAACTTGTTCTTCATCATCCTTAACATGTACATGTCTTTCACCAAATTCTCTTGTATCTTATTCAAATTCATTCTATTGTGCTGATACATTAAATTCAAGTAATTGTAATATATTCCCATCACGTTGTGTAACATGGTGTAATGCAACAACAAATAGTTTATGTATTTGTCCATCAGATACATTGAAAATTCAACGAAATTATACCTATGTTTGTGAATTACCTGTTAATTCATTGAATTGTTCAAGTAATGATAGTATACGTCGTTGTTCACTTGGACAAAGTTGTATAAATGGACAATGTATTGATAGTATAATAACCACAACAAAAATAAATGATACCAGCAGGTAAATAAAATAATTTATTAAAAATAAAATATTTCATTTTTTTTTTTTCAATAGTCCTCTTGATCAACGTCTTCGTATCGCTCTTGGTGTTATTGCTGGTTTACTTGGCACATCCATACTTGTTCTTTTAGGTGCATTTTGTTGGATACGTCAACGACATAAACGACAACGTGCTATAGCAGAAAAATCTCTTTCATTATCGTCAGTACCATCAGCTACACCAACATCATCACTTTATATGTCACCTACCGAACATCACGAACAACAACAACAACAACGACAACCTTCTTTACCAAATCGAGTTTATCAATTACCTGTTGAAAATAATAATTCAATATTATTACCAATCTATCGTACAAATTCATTTCGTCAAGCTATTAATTCAGGTTATAATCAAACAACTGAGCATGTATCAACAAAACGCGATAGTTTTATCGATCGATCAATTTATGAAAAAGATGATTTAGATTCTTCAAATTATAGTACATTACAATATGTTATTCCAACTCGAACATTAAATTATCAATATTCAAATGAACAAAATAATATTTATCAAGTTTTTATGCCATCATCTTCACCAACAAGTCTTACACATGATGTATAATTATGATAACAGTGAACATAAATAAGAGAATGACGTGTGTGTTTTTTTCTTCTTTTCTCATTTTTTTACTATAAATAAATATATAATACAATAAATTTAAGAGTTATTTAATTGATTTTATACTAGAGAATTTATTTTTTTATCCTTGAAATCAAGAAGACTTATTTATAATTTGAAATTGTGAATGAGTAATAAGATTTTGAACTTATATATATATATATATTCAATAAGAATATTTTTACAATAGAACGTGTAGATTAAATTCTTCGTCAAGAATATAATGTATCTTACCGTATTTGATTGAAATTAAAAATCGTTTGTAATAAAAAAAATGAAGCCACTCTTATATCTGATTTTAAATCTTGTCTTGCAAAAAGAAGACTGATAAGTAGGTCACCATTTTTCTCCTAGAATCCCGCATTATTCTTTACAATTAATTGTAATATACAAGAACTCCTGTGATTATTCAAACATTCTGGATTTTATACTATAATTAAAATCTATTTTATATTTCTAAATAGAACATCGATCAAGGTACTTATTTACAAATATTTCAATGCTTGATATGAAATATTAAAATGCGCTTTTAAACAGAAGAATAGGCGAGATAAATTATTTTTATGGAGAAAAAATAGGTCTTAAAGAAGTATTTTTATATACTCAGTCAGCTATGATTTAATAACGCATTTTGTAGTATTTGAAATCAGTAAAATAAACTGGCTATTATAATTTTACCGCACTGTGATTGACTATTAACAAGATTTTTATTCTTCTTACATTGATGTATAATACGTTATGCAAATTGCGGAAACCTGATTGTTGAAATTATTCAAACTAAATAACGAATCACATTAGTTTTAATCTACTTTGAGTTTTTTTTTATTGTACTTGAATTATGTTAAGAACAATACAGAGATAAATTGATCCCAGTAGATTTCTCTTATTTAATCTTGCTTTTATTTTAAAATAATATAATTATTAGTACTATTCTTACTAATACATAAATCTTATGAATTTTCTTGTTATACTGTAATAGAATTATTCGTTTATATTGTATAATAATTTTAATAGTTAAGAAATATGAACCTAGAAAAGATTCTTAATTCATTACATTGATAAAATCTTGTTTTTCTTTCATATATGCAAATTTATGATGATTCTTTCTTGTGCAGAGACGCATATCAAATAGGGATGTGCGGAAATACTCTTTTATTCGATGCTTTTATATTTATTTGTTATACTTTATGTTCAAAAACTTATTTAGACAATTGAAATAAAAGAAATCAATTAGTATAGAATAGTTAATATAAATCAACGAGCTCAAAATGATGAATTCATATCGATAAAAAATTTGTCTATTTAATGGTTAGTTTATCATGATATGAATCTACAAGATGATCAAATTATTTATATAAACGAAATTGAACTTTTATTACGATCTGTGAGATTGTCAATTAATTTAATATCAATATATCTATCATTCTTTTGATATGCTGACTGACATATGCCAACAAAAACTATTTTTCATCCAATGAAAGACATAATAATAATAATAATAAATAAATTGTATATGACAAATTTATAGTGTTATAAGATATTAAAAAAGTGTAGTTCCTACAATATTCGAGTAAAACTTCCTTTTACATCAAGATCCATTAAACTCTTCAAAGATTCAATATTTTAGAATATCTATTATAGTATTCTATTCATTCATATGAAAAACACATATTATACTTGCTTATTAAACTGTCATGTCACGCGTACATCTTGAACATAATGCATTTAGATAATAGTATAAGAGAGAAAAAAATAAATATAGACATTTAAGATGTTCTTCTCTTCCACCAAAATACGTCATATATTCAGCTTCATTAAACATATAGAAAAACTCTTCAATACTATTCAGATAACAGGAGCACATACACATTCTTATAATTCATTTCTCTCGTTTACATTACAGATAGACATCAACAGAAAGATGCAATCTCAATTAGTTCTTTTATTATTAGCACTGTCAATGATCTTAGTCAGGTAATATAAATATATCTATATCTATCTATACATATTGATTATTTGATTTAGTGCAAAAACTATTCGATCCGTAGATGGTGAAAATGATATGAGTGAAGAACAACAACCTGAAATGTTTCAATCAAATCATAAATTTAATCATCCCCAGATTTATGAAGAAATGTTAACGAGATTCTTAAAAAATCGAGCCAATAATCAAGAATATAATCCATATGAAACAATTGCTAAACGAGCAAAAGCTATTATCAAAGGTGATCCGAGAGAATTTATGGGTTAAGAAATATCCAATTGAAATTTTTGTTTAATGTAGTTTTTTGTTAATTTCTAATTGACGAAAAAGAAAAAAACTCAAATATTTTCAATTTCTTTTTTCCTTTAAAAAGCCTGAAATCATTACCTTCATTTATTCTTGATAATGATTATTTTTCTTGTATTTAAATCATATTTTACAAATAAAAATATGTAACATCGTCTCAATATATATATATATAATACAGTTTTGTTCTTCTTTGAAATATTGTCAATGAATTAAAATACAAAAATTAAGTTTTATCACAACAAGTTGAAGTTTTTATATTGTTAGAACTAATTCAACGTTATTACCGGACAAAAAAGTTTATATAAACCGTGTTTCTCATTCATTTTATACGAGTATTTTCAGTACATACAACATTTCTTTGGCAATTCTTAAAGATGAGACTACTCTGCACTTTTTCTTTCTTTTCTTTCTCGGTCAAGTTGCAATCGATTGTCTTACTGGGTCACGAGATGACGCTTCCTGTTTATTTTGAATACCTAATATATCAAGCTTTGGTTCGAGAGTTATCGTAATATTTCATGGAAGAGAATACTGCTATTAATAACCTTCAATAAGAATGAAAAGAAAAATAAAGATGAATACTTTCATAGATCAACAGAATTTCTTATTCAGGAACTATATTTCAGCATAATTAAGAATTGAAGAGATACGTTTGCATCATAGGAATAACTAGTACGAGATAGTACTCTACATCTTGTTGAATGAGTAATTTAACAGAAAAATATCTCAACGAAATTGATGGCCTATTTCTCTTTCATAGTTGCACATACTTATATTAATATTATTCCTACTGTTATATTAATCAATAATCGAATCGCACAATTCATTAGTGAAATTTTTATATGCAGAATTATTTTAAATTCTACAATAACAAAAACTTTGCTAAACTTAGTATTAGAACCAAAGTGACTGTAGTCCATCATGTTCGCAAGGATTACGCAATATGACGATATATAAAAACATGTCAAAATACAAGATTGTAATATACTGATCAGTATAAATGTACTCAATACAGAAATGGAAAGTACTAGATTCTTTGATCGAAATATGAAGTAAAAATATAGAAATTAACTATTGATATGTTTGACAAAAACTTCATACAATCAATCTATGTAAGATTCATTTTCTTCAAATTCGCCTTTCACATCACACATGTAGTATTACGTCAGCAAACAACCCAAACTCTACCATTATGTGATTAATAGAATAGCAATTATATTCATATGGAAGAAAAGACAATAATGAATAATAATAAAAAAATGCATTGAAACTTTTTATTTCCAGGAAAGTATTCGATAATTGATATCAATGCGTTTGTGATCAAGAATTAACCAAGATTAGGTATCAATACAAATTAGTATTCTTCTATTATTATATTGTCTTGTACCAATTGAACGTGAACTTCATAATATTTTTAATGAGGTCAATTATATATTATAATTAAAATAATGTCCTGTGGTTCTTAATTGAAATATCTGATTTATACAGCAAGATTTAAGAAAATAAATTTTACTTCTCTTTCATACACATGAATCTCTATGTTAAACTCTCCTTTTATAGATCATATCAAAGCTTGTAATCATCTTGATAAAAATATATAATGAAATAATAATAGATCGAAAATAAGTACAATCTTTTCTTCAAAACAACAGTATGATTATTAAAACTAGAAACAACCAGTGTACTATCTACCTTGTGATTAGAGTCAAACATCTCATCTTTAACTATATTATGTTATACAAAAGCAACGAGATACAACCACATATAAATGTCAAAGTATTTGTTCTTACTGTTAAAAGATCGTCCTACTTTTCAATCTGAGTATAGAGCTCATGAAAATTTAGATCGGATACAAGTTTTTGTAATCCGTACCATTTACATTTTGTCATTAAATAATGATCATACTTGAGAATACAAATGCAACTGTGATGACCATTCAGCAGTCTACTGTCGAAGTCGCTAGATAGTCTGAAACCTACAGTATATTAGTTAGTTTAGACATCATAATACAAAAACATTGCTATTCATCGTAGATTTCATAAAGTGATTATTGGTAGATCCGCTATCATCACCATTTCATTCCCAGTAGAGATTACACAATTCGCATGCAATCATAAAGTTGATTTCATCCCTTTCTATAATCATTATGAATAAATCAGATTTATATGTCACCATATGCCTCTCCATGTAAAATATGATTCTGTCACGCTTTAGTCGTTACAATATGCATAAACGGTTTACTATCTAGGATCAAATGCATTTACAATTTTAAATGGATAATTGTACTTTTCAAAACGGAACATCGCACAGCTATTTGCAACTTATTATTCATTACAAAAGTGCGTGAAGGAATCACTTCCTTACCGTGGACAAGCCGTATAGACTTTTATTTATACTACAAAATAAAAATTAATAGTGATTTATTGAAAAAATTTAAAGATTAAATTGTTCTCACTTAGAAACAATTCTCACATACGGATAAAAAACAATCCGTTTAATAAACTCGTTAGATGTCGCTCTATATTAAAAAATTGCAATTATTTAATCTTTTCAAAGATTTTCTTTAAAAACAATGATGAAATTTGAGTTCAACTAGTCTTATTTCTTTCCATTAAAATCTTTATTTATTCGAATTATCTATAATTAGCTCTATTTAATCCACCAATAAGATAGATCTATCTATCATAGTGATAATCCCATCACTTTCTTTCTTTGTTTAACTTTTGAAAAATAAAGTAAACTGAATATATTATCATATCATTTATAATTCTCTAGCAAAGAAGAAGAAGTAAAAAAAAAGATGTTTCATTTTCTTTTCTTTAATTTATACAAATGAAACCTTCTATTTGAATATGTTCGATGAAACCTTGTTGAATATTATTGATTTCTTTTTCAATTTATTATAGATCTATTCGTTATTTATATTTTATTTCATCTATTCTTTCTTCCTATTGAAAAAAAAAAAGATTATATTTCACCATGCTCTTACACAATAATACAATTGCAACTGCTACATTTCTCTCACCTACAGAATCTCCATCAACATCACCACCAACAACAACAAATAGTGTTTATACGCATCCGAATCCACCACCGAATCCATATTTTCCATCACCTTGGATTCAACCATATAATAATCAAAGATTATTAACTGAACAATTTTTTGTACGTATAAAATGATTTCTTCTTTTATTGAATTTCGTTTTTACAAATATTCATTCTTCCAGGAGTTAGAGAATCTATATATTAACAGGTAATCATTTAAATTAGTGTTGTCGCTTCTTTCTATCATCTTTGCTTTTTATATGTGTGTGTGTGTTATATTCTAACAAATATAAGTCTTATCACAAAATTATTTTTTCAGGAGAGATAATATCTAATGATGGTAAGATAGTCTAATATATATATTTATTGGTGTTGTAATTTATCCATCATTATCTTGCACATTTTTATATACATATATTCACTATTTTTCGTATAGTTATATCTATATAAAGAAAAATCTCTTCTCGCATGGATTTAATATCCGAATTCGATATAGTGTGACTAGTTTTTCATGCATGTGTATAGAGCATGTCGATTTTCTTTTCATTCTTTTCGATATATATATATCTATGTAGAGCATGCAGTTATTTTTTAGTATTATTATTCTATGAATGAAGATGATATGCATGTATATTATTCTTTCTCCTTCTTTTCTTTGTAATTTGAATCAATGTCTGTCGGTCAAATGAAGTTGAAAAAAAATAACACTCTAAATATGAGTGTTCATTTTGAATGGTAGAAAAATGATAACCTTGTTTGAGTTCTAATTGTCACATACATATATATGACATGAACACTTTTTATTATGTACGTGTCAATCGATCGATTTTTATAGTAATCCTTATTTATGTCACGATTATAATTATCATCATGTTCTTCTTCTCTGAGAAAACGTTTGATTCATAATAAAATCATTTTATATGGATTATTATTGTTTTATTAAAGAAAATTGTAAATTCTGTATGAATAACCCATTTTTAGTAAAAACATGTGTCTCACGAGTGTAAACATAATCTAATCGTCATGTATATAAAACGTAGAATGCATGACTGGTATGAGTAAAAAAAAAAGGAAAATACGAAAGAGAGAAAAAGAAAAGAAAAATCCAATCATTTATATACATATATACAATTGGCTTTGTCAAAAAAAGAAAAAGGAGCGAAAGAGAGTCCTCATTACAGGATGTAATCGATGAAGCTTCTTCACTATTCACAAACCATCAAAACAATAGATAGACAAAACGAAGAGAAAATGAAAGAGAACAAGAAAAACGTAGGAAAGGAAAAAAATCATATTTCATATTGTTGATTATTTCGTCGTCGTCGTCGTCGTTTATGTTGCTCGTTACTCTTTCTGTCGTCTACGTCCGTTCTCATAACACGTTCATCACATGAATCCAATAGTGAAAAAGCAAAAGAGCAATAAAGAGAGAAAAAAAAAAGATATAACGTTATTAGTATTAAACAAAAGAAGAGCCCTACTTGTGTGATCACTCAATCGAACCAAAGGTATACATCATTTAGAAAGACAAAAAGAAGAAGAAGAAGAAGAGAGAAAAAAAGAGAAAGACTAAAAAGTGTGTATGCGCGCATCAAATCAACAATAGTATATGAGATTCTTCTCACTTGCGTCGTTCAACTAATCTTCTCTTTTTTCGATTACGTTCATATAACTACTACAACTCATCGACAGCGTGTCGTGAACAAGTAAAAGAAGAAAAGAAGAAACGAGTCTACTACATTGAAACAATCATAAAATAATCATATTTTCGTTGTATATGTGTGCATCTAGCTCAAACGCACGCAACATAACTCAACCGACATGTTGTTAATTGTAAGTGCACATTTGTAAGACTCAAGGGAAGAAAAAAGACTTTTCATCTTGTAATCGAGATATTTGAAGTCTAGGTTTTTTTCTTGTTGTTGACCATTTCACAATTTTATATTATTCTCATGCTGGCAACTAACTCGTCTTGCTCTGTCTGTCTTTTTATGTATAGTTATAAATATTGTTTTTCTAATTTTGTTTCTCTTTTTTCTATTTATATATTTTGATTATTTAGAGTCCAACTATGTTAGCAACAATTCCATCACCCGGTATTGGCAATCGAACCAACAACAATATGAATACAAATGGTCCCACGACAGCACTTCTTACAAAAAATGATCTTATTGCTTTTCATCATCTTCAACAACAACTAGATGCATCATCATCCAATTCGGTATGAATATTAAATATATTTATAAATAGATAAAACTACATGACTTCCGGGCAGATGTTCATTTACATGATGATTTGGGTCATCTTTGCTCTTTACAAATTTCATCCACTCATTTTTCTTTCGATATCCTAATTAGATGAGTGTTTGAATGGTGAAGATAAGAAGAAGAAGAAGAAGAAGAGAAGAAAAAAAGTTCAGTCAACGCACAACAGGCATACTTAGATGTGTACGTTTGATTGATTAAAGAGAACAGTTGAGAGTCGAGAAAGCATCTGCTCATATATATATCATTGTTTTAGATTGTAAAGAGTCGCAATTAGTCGGTCACTGTCTTACTTTATCTGTCTATCGATCATATTTACATTGAGATCGAACGAAAAAAAAAGTAACGAAACGGAAGTGATCTTCTAGCAACAGACAATATTTTACTCTATCTCTTATTCAAAATTATACTCATTAATAAAACAAGTCAAATAGAAAAAAAAAGAACAATAGATACAGCGTTTGATCTAAGAAGAATGACTGTCCTTTAAAATGTTAATCTAACAGAATAATAAAATTCGTTGATATGTATATCTATAAACAATTGATAGATAATAACGAGCATGGATGTTACTCAGACGGATATTTATGTGTAAGCGAAGGAAAGAGAAGAAATGATAATATCGAATATTCAGCTAATAATAGTAAAAGGAAGGAAAAGAAAAACTAGCGCTATTGCTAGTTTTACTATATATATATATACATACATAGACATCTCTTTTTCTCGCATTTGTTGTGGTAGACACTTGATTATACATTGCTCATCTTTTTTCTATAGATTAGATCGTCGATGAGTTATGGTAGTATTTTCTTTTCTCCCGATTTTTTTCCCTCTGCTAAAGTTGTTTGTATTCGTTCTCTTATCATAAATGAACGAGAATGGTGACCGAATTTTGCTTTCTGTTCTTACTGTTTGTGTTGTATGTGGGCTATTTTATTGATGCATCAACTATCTTTTTCTCTGTCTCTCTCTCTCTCCCGCTCTCTCTGTCTCGTCCCATTTTCCCAATATAGATCGTCTGTCTTCTTTCTTTTTCTTTCTTCATATACTTGGTGCAAGCAATAAGATATATCTAAGAATATTCGTCTACTATTATTAATCTTACGAGTAGTTCTTTTCTTTTTGGGTGCTACATTGACGATGTTATATTCATTTTTACCATCAGATAATTATTTAGCATTAAATGTAAGTTTGTCTTTTGCTTGTCGTCGATATATTATTCATTGTTAAATATGTGAAGTCGACTGAATATGATGTTGAAATAGGGCTAGTCTAATATAGAATGATTTGTTTTCGCTTGAAAGATCTTTTCGACATGCAAATGCATACTGAGACACAAAGAAGAAGAAAGATCAAGTTCCCGGAAGCACATTAAATTAAAGATTAGAAACGCATATAAATTAGTTTGATAGAGCAGCTTCATAAATCTAAATATGATAATAAATAGTTATGAGAATTAGTTTTTTTTTAATGGAAAAAATCATTTTCTTTTTTCTTTTTTTGTTATAGCCATTGGTACCAACATTATTATCTCCAACTGCAACATCAGGTTCATCAAATATTAATCCTAATGGATCATCACCAACAGTAACTAATGCTACGCATTCACCAATCGATTCATCAATACTTGCTACAGTCTCTAGTCAACATCATTCATTTGCATCTACGAATATGATAACAACGAATAATATATCAAATCTTATTGTTGATTCAACATCTCATTTATCACAAGTTACCAGTGTACCGTCATCACCATCATCAATTATTGAATCAACAACAGCGAACAGTAATAATAATCTAATACATTCATTATCACCTAATGATAATGTATGTTAATTGAAATAAATTTGAATTTGAAATAAAAACTAATATAAATAAATTTCTATATATATATATCTAGACTCAATCAAATTCTTCATCATCTCATTCACCACAATCAACAAGTACAATAACACCCAATGGTTCATCATCATCAACAAATGGTTCAAATTCAACACAAAAACGTTTACATGTATCTAATATTCCATTTCGTTTTCGAGATGATGATCTTAAAGCTATGTTTGAAGTAATTAGAAAAAAACCATAATATTTTCGTATTCCTAAAAAATTTATTTTTTCTCTTTTAGCAATTTGGTGAAATAGTCGATACGGAAATTATTTTTAATGAACGAGGATCAAAAGTATTTATACAAAAACAGAATTTTCGATAAGATTTTTTTACCAGAAAAATAAGTGACATGTATCTATCAACTCTATAATTGTCAAACATTTCAAATTGATTAGGTTTTCTCGTTTGTATTCATTTTCCTATAGGAGAAAAAACATAATAGTTACATAGTTTCTTAAATTAATTACTTTTATTGTGTATAGTTTATTAAGCAGAAAAAGGAAAACCATTGACGTAGAAATTCATAGTTTATCAAATAGATAGATGAATTAGAAATAAAAGTCAACTCGACTTTTGTTTTTGTTTATATCAAAAAGTTAGTTAATTGAGTAAAAAAATGACAACATAATTAAATAAAATGTAATAGCTTTCAAGTAATGAAAATTGTAATCATTTTTGATGGATTGAATATAATAGACGTTGAATGATAATTTAACTGAATTGACATTATAGTACTGATGTATTATGAGTATTTTAAGCAAAGTACAAGAAAATTTCGATAAAGATACGTCTAATCTTGACTAGAGGATTATGGATAGTCTTAAGAAAATTTTTAATCTTATCAGACAGCTAGGAAAACATGTGTGTTTCTATGGAAGTTTCAAGAGTATAGCATAGAAAGAAAAATATAAATGTACTGACTATTCGTTTTTTGTTAAGAACTCTTATTCAATTCAGAAAAAAACGAACGGATGGATATATTTTTGAATAACTCTTAATGGAGAGCTGCAGTTTTCATTGTTCAGACGAGAAGATTTAGATACATTGAGAGATGTTTTCTTAGTCAATTTTCTATATATCCTGAACGAATAAATCTAAACGTCTGGACTCTCCTGATTATTACTATTCACTTGAGCTACACATCAAAATACGTTGACATTCATAAATATCGACTTACGCTCTAGAAGAAATTCGATCGCATTACTTCATAATATACTGCTTCATCGACTTTTCCCAACGGTATAAATGACAGTTCTTAAACTATCCATCCGTCTTTTATTTATACAAAGTTATAATGTTCGTTTTATACATTTATTTTCTTTTATTTAAGGGCTTTGGTTTTGTAACATTTGCTTCAACTGATGACGCTGATGCAGCTCGTGAAAAACTACATGGAGCTATTATTGAAGGACGTAAAATAGAGGTATGTTTTTAAATCAATTTTGGAAGATTCGATTATTATCGTTTTATTCTAATAATTAAAAAAAAATTGAAGAATATATATGAATAATATATAAAAAATAAAATCATGCTCATATCTCTTCTTCTAGTTTTCTTACTACTACTACTTGTGAATCAATATATATACATAGGAGGTAGACATAATGATAAAAAGCAACCAATTATTATATTTTCTATTACTTTTTTTTTCTTACTTCAAACAACTGTTTTCGTTTGCATGCCTGTTCGTGGCTGCTTGTTCGTCTTTTCTATATTGATCGATTGTTTTTCTAATATAAATTAGTTCGAATATATATATATATATACATAAATCAACAAATAAATAAGGGAGCATGATAAAATTCAAATCAGAAAAATGCAAGTTTAACCTTTGATTATAGTCTTTAGAATGATGGCTTAGTTGAATTTATGTTTTTTTTCTATGTTGTTATCTATTTTTTTTCCTATTACCCAAATTCGAACTGAATTAGATTTAATATTTCATATTCTCAGCGCATGATGCATGATTGTTCATTTATTAAAACTAAAAAAAACAAAAAAAAAAAAAAAGTTAAACTAAGTGAACGATCATTAATAAAACGATGACACTCGCATGTCATGCACATACAAATAAAGAACGTTGTTCTTGATCTATAATTTAATAGAAAATATATTTCAACAGAAGTTTGTATGTGACTTAGTAGATATAATGCACACAATCATTGTTTATTTTTTTTGATACATGACACATTTACGAATGGCTCGAACGTTCTAATTGCAAGAGATTTTTATTATATCTCTTTGCTTTCTGTCGGTGAATTGTCTGGCTCAAATATATCTTTTTGTTGACGATTAAATCATTTATAATATTTTATTTAATTAGGTTAATATGGCAACTGCACGATCACAGCCAAAACCTAAACCAATTATAGCAAATCCATTCGGTTAGTTAGAATTATTTTATAGAAAATTTCGAGAAAAATTATATTGATTGATCTAGGTGTTGTGTTAAATACAAGACAACGTCCAACATTAATTACAGCTACACAACCTACAGGATTACGTGCAGCAACAGCATTTACTAATGGTTTTGCTTTACCCGGTGGATATACGTAAGTTAAATAAATTATATTCAGATTATCAATATGGAAATTTAACTAGAGACTATCCTCGAATTTCAGGGTTGTAGTGAAATACTGATTAATTCAATACTAAATAATTATATGATAATCGAAACGAGAGAACTGACAAGTTCAAGTTTACATATTCTGATTTTATGAATATGAATACTTAAGTTTAGAAGATAGTAGTAAATTTTTAATGATGGAAATCTCACTTTATTCCTTTCTAAGAATAATTAATAAATAACTAAAATCTTAATTTTCTTTTAAAGAATTTATCCTGATCAATTAACTACTATGGGTGGTTTAACAGCTTATCCAATTGCGACTGCACAACAACAAAACGGTATTCGTTATATAACAACTACTCCGAATGGATTTACAGGACCTGGACAATCAGGTGGATCATATGCATTTAGGTAAATAACAAAATAATATAGAAGAACTTTTTTGAAATGATTGAATCTTTATTATTAGTGTCTTACCAATGCCTAATGGTGTTAATACACAAACTGGATATATTATAAATGGACCATCAACAACGAATATGACTTCACAAACTGCTCAATTTGGGTAGGATATTTAACTTTTGATTAGCATGAAATACTTTTTGTGTGTATCTGTATTTGTATGGGAATTTTATCCTTCGTTCATAGTCTATTAATCCCTCAGCAGTATTTGGATTATTATTATCAGTTCAGTTGGTATGCTCTATTCTTTTCTTCTCCTACACCAATCAGATCCAATACAAAAAAAAGATTACACTCTGCATTCAAAATATATCTTAGTAGAGCATGATGCATGAGTTTATTTACATTGAAAAACTTCTTGCATGTCAAATCATTTTTTAATTCTTTTGAAGAAAAAAAACATTATACTTACTTTGTTAATTTTTTGTAGACATCCATATCAAGAAACTGCATATATCACTACATCACCAAATGGAACTATTGGTCCTATTACTGTATGTTAAATTGATATATATTAAATTTGTTAAATAAATTTTTTTCTTTAGGGTATACGCAACAATGTTCGTTATGCACCTTATTAAAGTTCATTGATATTATGTCGTTTTCTTCTTGTCGAACAGTAGTAGTACTTACATACATCGATTGGTTTTTATTTCTTTGTTATGATGAAAACTGTCGTTAATATTTATCTGATGTATATATAAACGTGCTTCCTATTTCTTTCTTTGCACACAGTGAAGATTTTTGTTTTGATGCATGCTGATAAGCTAATATCTTCCTTTATTTCTGCTTGCTCAACTTGTGCAATGTTTTCTCTCTTCATTTATTCATATATTTGTGTGATGTTGCATTTATTCTATATCATCGATCAAAAACAAAAAACAAATCGTATGTGGTGCTATATTATTCTTTGCGTGTGTGTGTGCGTGTGTATTTCTCATTTCGTTCTTCTATGTAAAAAAAAATACAGCTTTAAAAAAAATGAAGAAGAGTCATTGGATGAAGATCTGTCATTTTTTTGTTCTTTTTGTTATTATTATTATTATTATTCATTTGCTGATATCTTGCCTTTCTTTGCAAATGATATCTGAAAACTACGGTCTTCTGAGGGTGTTCTCTCTCTCTTTTTTGTTATCTAAACTTTTTTTGTTTTCTTGCGCGATGATATTTGATTATCTGAACATTTATGATCGTAAAGAACGTTTTTTTTACATAAAGATACATAAATATATATATATATATTTGAAAAAGAAATAATCTTTTAAAAATTCTATATGGCATATTATGTGAGAAAATTTCACTAATTTGATCTTACAAAATCCAAGTTATGATAATAAGCATAGCATTATTTATATATCAATATATTTTTTCCTATTAATCCAGATCTCAAGAGAAGATATTTTTATTTTTATAAGCCAAATCGAATCTCTTTACATAAGACAAAGATCGATAAATCATTTTTCATTAGAATTAGAATAAATCATTATAATATTGTAATCCAGTGTAGTTTACATTGAAGCAATTTAATCGATCGTATATAGTGGCATAACCACAATCGGGCATGATTGGGCGCCACCCAATTACAGGATCTTCTCGTCCAACCACCCCTCAGAATGACTATCATTTCCCCGGAATTGTGGTTCCCAGCATTGATTTTGTGTACAAATTGAAACTAAAGTAAGATAATGAAATAAACGTATGTATTTGATTTAATTATTTTTCCATCAAGGAATTATGCACGAGCACGTGCTATTATAATATGTTTAGTAGATTCTTTTTCATAAATTGTTGAACCAATTTTAATATTTTTTTTCTTCTCCTTATTTTTAACTATTTTACAAAATGTTTTGTAATTGAAGAATTGAAACCAAACTGATATTAAAATTTTCTAATGCACTTAAACAGTGTTTAAAATGAAACAATAGATTTTTTCCAATAAATTTAATTTAATAGCATTACGACTAATTAATATAAGAATTTCATTTTCAAATATATGATGTTGATATTCTTGTGTACGTTTTATGAAGTTCTGTACTTTTTAATGGAAAATAATCTTCTGTGAATATGTATGTAAAATACCACATAGGTCTTCTGATATAATTTCATCTGTATCAAGCAATTGTATTTTAAATGTTAAGTTTAATTGTTTATCTATTCATAAGTATTTATTAATAATAAAAGTTTTTGCTGATAATATTCCGATTAATGATTTATCATCAAGATTTATTAAACGAAATAATGGACAACGAATACAAATATCTTTTTCTCGGCTACATAAATCAAGAATAATTGTATGAAAAGAAATAATTCAATGACATTGATCAATAATTTTTATTTCGCTAATATTGTTCATAATAAAATGAGGTATTGTACTAAGCCAACAAATATGTACTAATCGTTGGCGTACCAGAATCAGTATGAAGACGATTTGATTTTAAAAGTATATGGTAAAACTTCATTTGGCTAAATTAAAAAACAAAAGAAAAATCTAATATATTTTATTTGAAAGAATTCATTCACTTGAACGTATGAATAAATAATAAAATCAAACAGAATTTGTAAATCACATTGATTATTAATAGTTAAAATAATATTTGCTTTATCATAATATTTTTCGTGAATTAACATTTTCTATAACATAAAAAACAATAAATTTTTCCAAAAATGAAATTATATATTTCATAGCTGATTGTTCCTCTCTAAATATTGAACTTCTATATTAAAAAAATCCATTAAATAAAACTGTTGATATTTAAATCTCAGTTCTAATAAATGAGAAATATCTTCCTGATAACATCGTTTTAATTATAGTGATAAATAATCTAGAAGTTACTGTCGATATAGTTTATTCAATTCTTTATGATTAACTTAACAATTTCATTGAGTTTTTAAACTGACTTTGAAATAATACCCATGTATAACAATCCAATGAAGTTATAACTGTATCAAGCCATTGATACACAAACCAACGTGAAAGTTATTCACGCATATCGGTTAAACATGTTGCATTAGATAAACTTGCTTTAACATTTTTTTTCTTCTTATCCTCACTTGTTATACTTTCAAATCTAAATAAAATCACAACTTTGTTTACAAGCAAAAATTTTTTTTTCCTTTAACTATTTATAAAATAAATATTATATTCTACTACAACTTTTAATTTAAAATATTTGCGAATTGATCGAATACCATTTTTATTTTAAACAAAAAAATAATTCTGAGGCTTCTTTCTTTCTTTCTTCAGTTTCGTTCGAACACGTGTAATATAGACTAAGACATTTATATATTAAGCCATGCTTGGTTGCTTTCATTAGTAGCTTGCAACGGTGGACGTCCTTCGAAAACGAAGACATGTGCGATTGAGAACGATTAAAAAAGACTATAACAGCATAATGATACACTATACTGAGTGAAAGAAAAAATGATTATTTTTGTTATTCTTTATTTAATTTCTAGATGAACACTGCACGATAAACTCTCAAAAGGAAATGTTGAATTTTCATAATTAGTGAAAAAACATTTTGAGTGAGTCAATTTTATGAAAATTGTTTGCTCTTTTGAGTAGAAAGCGTAATATAAATTTAAATTAAGGTTTTATTTGATGGTGTCTATCAGTTGTTTTGTGGAACCTTACACCCTCACATATAATGAAACTTATAATAAGTTCAATATGCGTTTTTGGGCTTAGACAGATCATGAGACCTTGCTCATGCTTATTGTAAATATCTGGTTTTGTTTTTAAAAAGCAAAGAACAGTATTTTTTCAAGGTTCATTTTTATTGAAATAAAGAATTACAAAAAACTCAGCAAAAATAAAAACAAAAAAAAGGCGAGAGCAAATGATAAGAAAGCAAAAATTAAAATAAAATAAGAAAGAAAAACTATCTAATTTATAATGTTCTTTTAAGTTGACGATGATTGATGGCGCTATTTGAGTTTTAATATGGATTTTTGATCGTGCCATCACATATCCTACAAAACAAAACACTAAAATTATTCAGTATAAAAAAATTCGAAATAATAATCTCTACGAAGAATATATGATCGATGAACTAAAATATACACAACAGTCTTTAAACAATACATACCTAACTTATCAAGTTTAAACATTCTATTCAAAAATTCTTCTCGCATCCAGAAAATGATGGATATACTTTCAGCGCTCATTGAAGACCACCAGCTGACGGAATTGTTTTCATGATGATCATATTCAAATACATCGCTTAATTCAAACGAAACAATTGCGGTTGACTCCCTGTTCCAAGAAGATACGACATATTACCATTTCAAACAATCATTCAAATCCTATATTTTTCTCTATTCAAAGTAAACATTAATACGTTATAGAATCATTAAATAACACATCACATGTGAATACTTCTCAGCATCATTCTATGCACAAATTTTTCTAAATTCAGCGCAAGCGTTTACAATTGAGTTCATCTTTGGCTACTACGCCACAGAAAAATGACTCTAACAAGCTTTCCCTTCCAAAATTTTGCTCAACTCGAGGTAAGCATTTTAAATTGTTTCCATGGTTGAGAAACACACAACGAATGGATATTTGATACGAAGATTCTATTAAAATATTTCGCAGCATTCAAATGAAACATCTGTAATTGATTCCATGGTTGAGGAATACACCAAGAATGGATAATTAATAGGAAGATCATATTGATATATTCTTCTCAACTCAAAGCACACATATGCTGTTGACTCTATGGTTGAGGAACACACGTTGAATGCATAATTAATACCAAGCTTTTATCGAAATATTTTTCTCGATCCAAAACAAACATCTGTAATTAACTCTATGCTTAAGGAATACACGGCGAATGAATCATTGGTAGCAAGAGTATATTGAAATATTTTCCTCAATTCAAGGCAAACATGAACAATTGATTCCATAGTTGAGGAACACACGAAGAATGAATATTTGATATTAAGAGTATATTGAAATATTTTTCTCAATTTATCACAAACAGCTACAATTCATTCCATAGTTGCGAATCACAATACGAATGAATAATTTATATCAAAAGTATATTGAAATATTTTTCTCAATTCAAAGGAAGCATCCATAACTGACTTCATGGTTCAGGAACACAGGACGAATGAATATTTGACATCAAGATTCTATTGAAATATTTTTCTCAATTCATAGGAAACATCCATAATTAACTCCATGGTTCAGGAACCCAGGACGAAAGAATGCTTGATAGCAAGAGTCTATTATAATATTTTTCTCAATTCATCAGAAACATTTCTAATTGATTTCATAGTTGAAGAACACATATCGAATGAATAATTGATAGGAAGATCATATTCACATATTTTTCTCAATTTATCACAAACAGCTACAATTCATTCCATAGTTGCGAATCACAATACGAATGAATAATTTATATCAAAAGTATATTGAAATATTTTTCTCAATTCAAAAGAAACATCTATAATTGATTCCATAGTTCAGGAACCCAGGACGAATGAATATTTGATAGCAAGATTCTATTAAAATATTTTTCTCCATTCAAAGCAAATATCTATAAATGAATCCGTAATTGAGAAATACACGTCGAAT